TAACAGCACATTTTGTTATTGCAAGGCAAAGCTAGCCTTCATAGAAGGAATTTGTTTTTGGCACTTCATTGGGGAATTTTGGAGGGAAGTAAACATGTATTTTACTTTTTTATGGTTAATATGGTTGCATTCTTTATGTTGTACGAAAGATTTGGATAGTATCAATGTAAAAAATTAGTTTTTGTTAATATAAATGCAAAGGACTACGATGGTATGTATGTAAATGTCAGTCATTATATAAATTATGCATCTCATTTCATTTTTACCTATTCATTTCTTCTCTCTCATTATTTATGTGCTAATTACTAATGCACGGGATTATATTATCGAAAATGAGCTCAAGCTATTCCACAAACTCTAAGAGGACCAAACATCGACCAGTATTTTGTGATTGCAACATGTCATCCGTTGTTTTCACGACTCAAAAATGTGAAAATGCTAGCCGAAAATTTTTACAGTATCCAAAAAATTTAAAGAACAGAAATTGCAAATTTTTCAAAGGATAGATGAACCGAGCGATGCAATAATGGAGCAAGGTGAGGAAAAAGATATAAATACATCTAATGATACGATGAAGAATGAACTCAAAGACTTCAAATTTCTTTTGAAGATCTTGCTTTTGTTTGATTTTGTAATCGTAGTACTTCTGTTATTGTTGTTAACGTTGTATTTGTTATGATGATGTTGATGGTACTTTGGAGAATAAGCGGTACAACTTTAATTTTTTTTGTGAGAAAACTTGCATGTTTGGTTGGAATGCGGCTTATGTTGAATATATTATGTTGAACTTATTTTTATATGATTATTTTAAAAGTAGATTAAATTCTCTTATGTTGTGAGTGCAAATAACTTGATAAATTATAATTAGATTTATTCCACAAGCAGAACTTTCAGATTTGTGTTTTTCAAACAAACTGGGTATATTACTGAGGGGTATTACAGCCATTAGTCCACAAACAGACACTGCTTCTGAAACACCGGCTTCTAAATAACAAATTTTCAACAACAGTTTTTGAATTGAGATTTTGTATATTCACAACCGAAACAAATGTACGCACCCTAAATATAAGTAAGTTTTTACTTCTAGATCTCATTTTAAACTTTTATTTTATATCAATATTTAAGATCAAAATTTATTATTTATGTTTTTAAAATGATTAACTAAATAAACATATTAATAATTTTTCATATTTATAAAATCTATATAAATTTATGAGTTTTTATTTTTTTTTTAAGGTTTATTCTTTGCCTTGCTAAGACAAAATGCCACAGTTTTTGCCTTTTTTAATCTTGTATTAAAATTTTGGGTCCTGAACACAACGTGTCAAACAGTATGCACATCTAATTTTTGTGTCTTTTAATAACATCACTTTGGATTGGGATTAGATATCCTTTTTAATGCTAGATCCTTCATATTCTTGCTCCTCTGTTGGGATACCAAGCAAAAAGTTAATTTAAATTTTGAAATTTGATGTATTAAGTAAAATCGCTCGAGTTGATCGAGTAATTTTGAACCGAGTGATGCAATAATGAAGCGAAGTAATGAAAAGATCAGTGCATCCGATGATACGATGAAGAACGATTTCAAATACAAAATGACTCGATTTTTGTCTTTTTAAATCTTGTATTAAAATTTTGGGTCCTCAACACAGAATGTCAAAAAGTATGCACATCTAATTTTTATGGCGTTTGATAATACCTCTTTGGGTTGGGATTAGATATCCTTCTTAATGCTAGATCCTCCATATTCTTGCTCCTCTGTTGGGATACCAAACAAACAAAGTTATTTTATATTTTGAATTTAATGTATTAGGAGCAATCACACGAGTTGATCATGTAACTTTGAAAAGCCGCCTTTAGCAATTATAACATAATTGTGGCCTAGGCATAAGCATAAGAATAACAAAATTCCAAAATTTTAATTTCTAAATGCTAATAAAATTTTCTATGATTTACGAATCAAAAGGCTTTGATTGTGAATTGCATAAATATAAAGTTTATTAGTGTCAATCACGAAAGATGGAAATCAGACAGCTAAATTAAGAGTTTTTAATAATTAGAAGCTTCATTATTTCCAATATCTTTATTCTTATATATTCCCTTTTAGCTGAATATTTAGATTAGGAATATTCATTATTAAGTTACCTAAAATAGATTATATACACTTTATTTTGTACGTAAAATAGATTGTAAGATTGTTATTTAATGGAATAAAAGCAAGGGGAAAAAGTAATGGAGCCTATTCAGAATTCAATCTATTTTTCTCAAAACTTTGACATGGTATCAAAGCCTAAATTTTTGCCCTATTCACCGGTAGTCGTTGAAGAATCGTCAAGACTCCCTTCCCCCCGACCTTCTTGCGGGAAGGGAGGAAAGATTTTTCTACCCTACAACACTTTTCTCCTCGCCATCTTCGCTCAGATGGCCATCTCTGTTTTCGCCGTCTCGATGGCGCGGGAAAATCCATCATTCCGCTCGACCCTAAGTCTAATGTTCTTGAAACGCTTCTTCCACTCAGTCATTCCCTCTTCCCTGCATCCTATTGGCATTTTCTCCTCCATGATCGGCTGCATCATGCACCATCGTCCGATATCTATGTTTCCGTGCGGCTCGTAGCTGGAGCCGGCGCTGCCAGGCTCAACCAAATCCGTTGCAGAATCAATCGGTCAGGTGACTCTCCCTACTCATCTATCAACTCGGGATTCAGCGGCGGATTCAGTGACAGGCCGCCGACTGAGATTGCACCTTTGTTCCTTGATTGCGATTATGAGCACCGGCTCATCGTTATGGATAAGCCAGGTGGGGAGAACGCTACCAAAGAGCAGATGATCGATTGCTATATCAAAACCATAGCCAAGGTCGTTGGAAGTGAGGAGCAAGCGATAAAGAAAGCCTACATTGACCACATGGAGACGCTTTCATGGATTTCTTCTACTTTGACCGCATGGCGTGAAAATCATGGAACAAATCGTCATCGTCGTCGCAGAAAGAATCAATAACATTTGGATCATATAACAGAACACGGATCCTACTTGTAGGCTATAATCGATAGCATCCGGATCGTGCAATTGGAAGCAGATCATTCTTGTGGCTATTATTTGAATTTCTAGACGACAAATTATAAAGAATTTCTTTCTTTTCTTTGCTCGAATCATGTTCTTAGGTTTCGGCACTCTCAGGCTTCGGCCTTTCGGGCTTCGGCACTGTTGGGCTTCGACACTTTCAGGCTTCGGCGCTTTTGGGCTTCGACACTTTTAGGCTTCGACACTCTCGGACTTCGGCCCTCTTGGGCTTCGACACTCTTAGGCTTCGATCTTTTGGGTTTCGACATTTTCATGCTTCGACACTTTTGGGCTTCGGCACTGTTGGGCTTCAACACTTTCAGGCTTCGACATTTTTGGACTTCGACACTTTTGAGCTTCGACACTTTCAGGCTTCGGACGTCGGCATTTTTAGGCTTCGGCACTCTGAGGCTTCGGCACTCTGAGGCTTCGGCACTCACGGCTTGAGGATTTTTCGACACTTTCAGGCTTCGGCACTCACGGCTTGAATATATCGCGACAATGTTATTTGCTTCTTGTGGGCAAATTGATGTTTCCTGATCCAGTCAGCATTAATTTGAGGGGGGATGTCAATCAGGAAGAATGGAAATCAGACAACTAAATTAAGAGTTTTCTATAATTAGAAGCTTCCTTATTTCCAATATCTTTATTCTGATATATTTCTCTTTTAGCTAAATATTTAGATTAGAAATATGTATTATTAAGTTATCTAAAATAGAATATATGCACTTTATTTTGTACCTAAAATATATTGTAAGATTGTTATGTAATGGAATGAAAGCAAAGGGAAAAGGCAATGGAACCTATTCAGAATTCAGCCTATTTTTCTCAAAATTTTGACAATTAGGTGGTAAATTAAGGTTCAATACCCCATGTCATGATACAACGCCCTCAAATTTTGGAAACTTGTTTAGGTCAAGAAAATTTTTAATGAATTTTTGAGTCATAAGGCATTTTGGTAACTTAACGGTTTGTGATATATAGATTTTTATGCTCATTGATACACTTCAAATAAGGATTCCCCTTGAATGTTGAATTTTTTTAAGCCGATCATTTAATTTTATGAAACTCTAAATTATTTTATGTGCAATTAAATAGAAAAAACATGTTATACACACACAAACAATTCAGTAAAATCACATGATTGGGCTTGGCTCAAGGTTCGCGACACAGCTTTCTGCTCATTTTTTTCAAAATAGAGATATGTTTTTAATAAATTTTAAATTAATCACACAAAATCAGATTTTATTTTACACAGAAAATACAATGATCTTTAAAAAAATATATTTAACTTTATTGTCAAAATATTATGAAACAACCAAGGCAAGTAAATTTAAATTCTCCAAAAGGTTTTGCAACAATGGTCTTTTTCTATCTGTATTCAATGAACTATTAAATTTTGATTTTATAAAGGTTGTTAAGATTAAATGCATTTATCTACGTTACATCCTTTTCTATGTTAAGTTGGCGGTATTAACGACCAACCATTCAAATCCAACGTTTTGAAGAATGACCATGCATTGACATGTATTATAGAATGCCATAACAATCTAACGTAAGAAAAAAATATGTAAAGAATAACGATCATAGCGATGTATTTAGATGCATGAAGCATAAAAGCATTGAGTGAACCTATCAAAGAATCTGATTTTTCAATGAACTATTAAATTTTGATTTTAAAAAGGTTGTTAAATTTAAATGCATTTATCTATGTTTCATCCTCTTCATGTTAAGTTGGTGGCATTAACGACCAAACATTCAAATCCAATGATTGATTTTTACTGACTAAATCATTCAAATCCAACGTTTTGAAGAATGAACATGCATTGACATGTATTATAGAATGCCATAACAGTCTAACGTAAGAAAGAAATATATAAAGAATAACGACCATAGTGATGTATTTAGATGCATGAAGCATAAAAGTATTGAGTGAACCTATCACAGAATCTGATTTTTCCTTCGAGTGTCCTGCAATGACTAGAAGCTTGTTTTCCCATTCCACCTGCAGAATAATGATGTTAACAAAATAACGGCAAAACAAAAAAATCAACTCTCGTACGAATGAAAATAGGCACAGCAAAAGAAAATTGTCCAATACTTGAAACTCACCAGGCTATGGCCGGCAATTGTTGGAAATACCTCTTTTGAGGTAGAATTTTCCAAACCAATATTTTCTGCATCAATCCTTGGATTTAACAGAGACCATGTCAAAGATCTTAGATTAAAAACCTGCATAAATTCCATAATATTAACCTGCTGAGGTCTTTGTTTCAATTTATGATTCCAAAATCCCATGCATTACATGTACATCAGAGAAATATCGACCATTGCGACTTCCGCCAATCACGAAAAGCTTGTCCTGAGCAACTGCAATTGCATGCTGAGATGTTTAAGAAGGCAATGAGTGTTCAAATAAGAAAAATAAGACTGAACAACTTTTATAGGGTAAACATGGTTTCCAGGTTAATAGAACTTCCGAGGAAGAAGGTTAATGGCCATGCCGCATGGAGAATAAAGTTGAGAAAATAAAAGCTGATTCTCATCTTCCAGAGATTAATTAAGGCCTGTTTACTTTAAGTCAAAAAAAATACAAAAAAAAAAAAAGAAAGCCAGTAAAGACAACTTGCTATGCAAACATGACGGATATCTTTACCTTATAACGAGCTAACGGTCTCCTGCCAAAAGAATGTAGCAATGTCCAATCATCATAATGTAGTTCTGATAAAAGAGCATTCAGATTATAACGCCCATTGACCATCTTATCTCCTTCAACAGCCATTGTAGGATCATGCATATAGAACAAGCTTCAATTATTATGCTGACAAATCTAGAACAAGCAACAACCTTAACTTCTTTTATAACCTGTACCACAGTAAATCCAAATTTCTTAGTGTATGTTCATTTCATAAAATGTACATTTTAAATCGTTCTTTCATAATAACCATTTTTATTCATCTTTGTCTTATTTAGTTTAGTTGATAAAACTCGTTAGATGACAGTATTAAACTCATAATCTCCATGGGAAAAAGAACAACTGTACAAACGCATTTTGGTTGAAGCTCCAAGTTCTGTGTTCCCAAATGAGCATAAGTGAGGCACTTAAAGTTGATTGAAATCTATTTTGAGATAATGTAAGGAATCAGAAAAAAGATGGACATATGCCATGCTATCTAAATTATTAATTAAGCAAAATCAGTAATAGCATTGCCACTGATAAACTCTTTAGTCAATATGCGGAAAATAGAGTTCAATGACAACGGTAAAAATGGCTAAAAGGATGCTAATATAAAGCTCATTGTAACCATTTAGGTTTCATAGATTTCAATATGGTAAACAATTGTTAAGGAGTATAAGCCACGTACCATTGCCATATACGTACTTGGGAATTGGGATGTACTGACACTCCTAGAACTCAAGTCATGAAATGTCTGATACACGTGCAGTGTTCTTTCAAATTGCACTAAAGTTTAACTAAAACAATGTGTCATTTTAATTAAAATGACATTTTCAGAAAGTCGTTTTAATTAAAATATATTCAATTAATTTTCAAATTTAAGTGGCAAATAAACTTATAATTTGAGTTGATTGTTTTCCATCTCATTAGTCAAAAAAGGATGGAGGTTATCCAGAAAACTGCATCTTCTTGATGGAAAAATAATAATTACAAGAAAAGAAACTATTTAGAGAAGATTTTGATGGAGCGGTTTTTCTTTTGAGAGTCCTTGGTCTAACAAAGCATGCCTTTGTAATTTTCAATATTTCATGAAAAATTAATTGCTTGTACAAACTAGCAAATCTATTGGTGCTTATCTTCACTCAAATTAATATGTTTAAAGGTAAGATTCTTCCTTGCATTACATTATAATTAAAATTTAGGCCAACAATTGATATCAGAGAATCAATTTTTTAAAATTGAAATTTGTTCTGTTTTTCAAGATTTGCCTTCACTTTTTTTTTTTCTTTTTTTTTTTGCCTCAAAAGTGTTTAGGCTGACAAATGACAATGAAGAAAGATTGATCTTTTCGATAACCAATATAATTTCAGTAAAATTCATAACAAATTTTAAAAAATATATGTGAGTGATTAAAAAATAGCCATAGTATCTTTAATTATGATAATGATCAGCGAAATATTATTTATTAATAGCATCAATAATTGCGCTTAAATTTAATATTTTAACCCTATACAAGGATCATTATATTTTAGTCTAATCAGAATGGATAATGATTTAAAATAAAATAATAAAGTGTCTAGTTAACCACTAACCTAGAAAGTTTTTATTTAGATGAAAATAACTAGCCTCATTATAAAATATTAATAAAATCAATTGTCTATTATAATTCTGCCCATATGAGAATAATAATGATATGCTGAATTTTATTTTAAAATAACTTATATGGGCCGTAGATAATCCATATTATTTTTTGCTTTTAAATGAATTTAATTAAGCATGTTTAATTTATTTATTTGCAGTTCAATCTATTTTAAATCCCAACTATGCATTATCTCTTATTCATAGATTGAGTGTTGATAATTACGAGAATTCGAAGGAGAAAATTCTCCTTTGGATTGCAACTACCTTGAATTGATACTTCATGTTGAGGAACCTCTAAAACCTATAGAAGCAAGTAATTATCTGAGAAAGCATCTTATGGATGTTCGAGGCGATCCAATCAGTTAAGCATGATGCTTATTGGGCCTCAGATCAGGAAAAGTATTTATGGATGTATTCCTAAATGTGCATTACTATCTCAAATCTATTGAGATGCAACTTGAGACTTCAGACAATGCACATGCAAGTATTTTGATGACAAAATTATTTTTCATATTATTTAATGACATAGAAGAAGTGTGTGAACTCATAAAAAAAAGAAAGGGCATAACTACACAACATAAATAATTGGAAATTGAGGTGTCTGAACTATTTTTAATTCACTTCATCTTCAACTTGTTTCCTATAGAAAAATGTCTCTATCATAATTTTAATATGGCATATAAGGCGAAACGGGCAATCAATAAATTGTTGACCTAGTGAGTACAAAAGAAGGTAGTTAGACCAAAAAAGATTTGAAAGTGTTCATTTGAAAACTCGAAAAGAGTGAACAAGAAAAAAGAGGAAAAAGAAATGTCTTTTAATCAAGTCAAAGAGAGTCCAATAAAATGATTCTTTTGCTAAAAGAAGGGGGAAATGAAGAAAGCTTGCCCCAAATTCAAGACATGTCTCAAAATATATTGGGTCTGAAATTTTAAATCTTATATGTGTAAATATCTCATGATAATTGGTAAATGAATATTGATTCCACAATTCAAATTGCCAACACATTTCAAAAACAAAATTAGACTGATGCAAAATGAGTGCTCTATTTATTTAGGAAATCAACTTTGCCCATATATGGAAGGTGTTGGGACCTACCATCACATTTTTAGTTCTGATTTTACTCTAGACTTTGAAAAGATGTTCTATATTCCGATTTTTTAAAACAATATTGTGTCCATGTTTAAATTATTAACTAATGACTTTAAGGGTACGTTTGGGATCACTTTTATTTTTTGCTTTTATTTTATTTTGTTTATGTTTTGATTTAAAACAAAATAAGTTTGGTATTGCTTAAGATACAGTTGATTTTGGAAATACTCAAAACACCAAGAAAATGGATTAATTGTTTTCAAAAACAAGTTTATTTGTTTTTAGAAACAAAAATAAAAATATTTAAAAAACATACTAAATAAATATGTTTTAAAAACAAAAGAATAAATAAGAATAAAAATAAAAAATAAAATTGATCTCAAACAAGCCTTAAGTTAACTGTTGTAAGAACCATTTTTTCATTGTTAATAAACAATGTTATTGTTGATGATAGTACTTTAGATGATGGACTCTTGAAACATAAATTCCACTTTTGGTCAAAATGGGTACTTTATTTATTCAAGAAATTGAATTTGCTCATATGTGGAAATTGTTGGACCTGACATCATGCTTTTAATTGTGATTTATTTTAGATCTTGAAAGGATGTTTTACATTCCAACTTTTTTAAAGAATATTGTGTCGATTTTTAAATTCTTAATGCATGATTTTAATTGAACCTCTGTAAGAAACCTTTTTTCATTGGTTAAGAAATAATATTATTATCGATGATAGTACTTTAAATAATGATTCTTTAAACTTAAATTCCTCTCCTGATCATATACATTAAGCATGGTACTATAAATAAGAAATCCTTAATATTATGGTTTGGGAGATGAGGACATATCACCATTAAAAAATACTAGTAATGAAGAAGTCTTAGAGACTCTTGAATTTTTAGTATTTGGCACTGGTGCGAATTTTATAAAAGAAAAGCAAATACATAAAACAACAAAGGTACAAGGAGGAGTTCTAACATATTAAGAATTGGGCGATACTTATATTTGCAAGCCTATTAAAGAAGTATTTATTAAAGGTTAAAAATATTGCATCAATTTTATAAATGACCAATATTGCATCAATTTTATAAATGACCACACACGATGTATGCACTTATTTCTATTTCATGATAAAACATGGACAGTTGATCCCTTCCAAATTTATAAAGTAGAAAGATGAATTGAAAACGTGAAGCCATATAAGATGGAGATTATTATAGGAGGTACATAATAATAGAAGAACACTAGGATCATTTTGCAAAGTTTCTGCAATAGTAAGATATTTTTACATAATATTTCTTGTCCAGCATACCAATTCAGAACAGTTCAATTGAAAAATAAATCAAGCATTAGTGTACATGATGAGATGTAAATTACTATTTTTTATCTCCCATTAACCTTGTGGGTGAAACCTTCAAAGACTATCATGTACATACTTAAGAGAGTTCCAATCAAGGCAATTTCAATATATATATATATATATATATAGAGAGAGAGAGAGAGAGAGAGAGAGAATTATGAAAAGGTAAAAAAATTAAGATATACAGTATATATGCATACACGGCTGCCTAGCTGATATTAGAAAATATAGCCAATAACATATACACTTTAACTTTTAAAAAAAATCAGTGAATTTTTTATCAGCTATTTTACAAAAACTAAGAGAAATATCGTACTTCCCATTAAGCAAAAATTGGAAATTCAATGAATGCTAAGTTTCTTGATGATGAGAAGAATGGTAAGAACAGCTAAACACAGTTTAATTTTTGAGGAAATACAAAATTCTCAACTCATTAACGAAGTTCCAGGCCAATTGATCGTGTTTCAATATTATTATCAATATAAAATAAATGAGGAGCAACCAATTTCTAAAGTATTTAATCATGTTACTAATTTCAAAGAACTACTTGATCAGCATCCTGAACAAAGTTGAGCTGATTTGAAATTAAAATTAACCAAAATAACAAAACTTGATGTCTCCTAATTATAAAGTATCTCTACAAGAATCTAATATAGATATCAGTGTTGACAATGATCTTAGTGCATTTTCACATGCACTGAGCGAAAGTAAAACTATATTATGATGTAATGCCATAAAAGATGAGAAAGATTCAACGACCAGTAATCAAGTATGAGATCATTTTGAATTGCCAAAAATAGCAAAGGCCATTAGGAGCAAATGAGTCATTAAAACTAAAAGAGTTTCTGTTGTGACAACCCCGGTAAACATGTCATCCAGTTTCTCCTCCAGTAATGGATCAATGCCAATTAATTTAAATTTTTTGGCTGACGGCACTGTCTGATATAGATAACAAATTAGTATTAATAAAATAATTTCAACTCAATGCGAAATTTGATTCAAGATAAAGAAATATTAGATATTTATGTATCTGTAATTTCTCAGCCCACCAATCCTCTGGTGCATCTATTGTGCGCTTAACTGGATCCCAACTCATTC